TGTGGTTACTTTGATCTTGTAAGCAACATGTTAACATAGGCGGTTGCAGGCCTGGGCATTAGGGGGCAATGCCCAGGTTGACTTTTTGACCAATAATTATATTCATGATTCTGGTGTGGGCATCCAGTATAAACTGTGGTAGTTCAACAGGCTTCTTTGTTGTTTTATGCTAAGAAATCATCTCAATGAAGTTATAGATCAGTATTGTCCATTTTCCTTGCAAAATTGTATGGAACCACACCCACTCCACACCCAGTAATTATTGATGCCCAGGTCAAACCAAATTTCTGCAACCGCCCATGCATGATGTTGCCAGAAATAGAAAGATGTTCTATTTTTGGCAACATGTTGCTTGGTTGCTAGCAACAAGTTGCCTCGTGTATGAAGGCCTTAATATATCACGATAGTTTAACCATAGGGTTTACATGTGGAAATACATGTACAATAATTTATTTGAGAATGTACACGTAGTTATTGTACTTAACCAACTCATTTATTAATTTGTAAAATCACATTATATATACATGCATAATACTAGTTATTTTAAATTTATTTAATCCAAATTTTCAACGAGAAACACTGTCCTACTATACTGAAAACACCTTCACTTAGTGCGAATGTAGCAGGGACAGTGAAAAACCTCTAAGCAAGCTGTACGTGCTATAAAGAAGATAATTACAGCTGTCAAGTGTCATGTATGCCATGCTCCATGCACACATGATACCTATCATAATGATAGTTAGAATAATAGAATCACTATCATAATAGCTGTACAGTAGACTATCACAGTAGTGCAACTATAGATACTATCAATACTATCGCCCAGGCCTAGTTGTTTGTTGCATGAATACAGTACACTACATGTATGGTGGTACTATTAGCACCTTTTATTATGTACTGGCTCTGTTTTGTTGTACCTATACAATGTACCATTTATCCTTAAATAGAAACCACATGCGAATAAACGCCGGGGTAGCAACAGAATTCAACTTTAAATACACAAATGTAGCCTTGAAGTGACTCAGTAGTCTTCTGAATACTGCCTATAGTTCCTGAAGTCAAGTGCATGAGGTCATGGGTTTGAATCCCACTCTGGGGCAAAGTTTAAAATTTTTTCGAGGTCCAAATACCATTTTATAGTCCATTCTCCAGCCTACAGTCATTGGGGCGGTCCACCCCAATGACTGTAGGCTGAGGAATGGTCTGGACAGCGAGACTACAATTTTTAGGAAATAGACGCCCAGGCTTTTATTAAGGAAATATGGTACATAAATGTATAATTTCAATAAACCAGGAATTTTGGGGAGAGATTTTAGTGGATTATTTAATAATTGTTGCTGTCAATTGAAGCCATAACACAATCAATAAATACTCTGCATTTATGTCATACGTCATGACTACATGAGTTATAGATTATACATCGTAGATAATTATGTTTTCAGTACAATAAACTCTAGCTGGTATGTACATGTAATTTGCGAGTTAGAACTGATGCTAAGCAAATTCATCTATTTCTAGAAAGAACCGGATACCAAAAGTTTACATAGTTCATACAGGGAGTCTCAACCTTCATATGATGACATGAAGCTACCAATCATAACAGACCACTATAAAGCAAAGTTCACTGCCTTGCTCTATTATGAAGAACAAGAACACATTGAACTACTAAAGAAGAAGTGAGTTTAATATACGGAGTACTGAGTTTTAATATTGAATATTATTTTTAGGTGTGATGGTAGCTTTGCCTTACAAAAATGTGAACCGCCATTTTTAAGACATGATGAAAAGAGCTATCCCCCTCATTTCTATTGTCTACAAGGAATGTCATCAGCACAGATTATGTATGCTATTCAAGCCAGTGATCGACACGTTACTGTTAGCATTGGCCAACATAGCTATGTAGCAAACATTCTGAGTTGTAATTATTCACATATTGATGATAAGCTATACATTTGTTTCAAAAGTAGCATTGGTGGCCAGTCTCTTTTAAAAGTCAATGCAAAATTTAATGTAAATCACAGTTATTTTGTTGGCCTCAATGAAGGAGTTTTGAGGATAAGCATGAATGTTTTACGTCGTCTTATACCTACATCAGAAGATTTTAAAAGCCCTCCTAGAGATATTGCCATTGACATTAGAAGGCACCCATATGGAGGGATTGATCTTGATCCTGAGCAGTATTTAGCATTAGAAGCAGTACTCAGTAACCAATGTTCAGCTCCTGTACTGATACCTGGTGCTTTTGGCTGTGGTAAGACTCGCCTTCTTGCTGTGGCTACAGAATGTTTCTTCAGAGAGCATAATGAGACTGGTGACTGTTCACCTTGTCGTATTTTAATTTGTTGTCATCATCAACGTTCTGCTGATGTTTTTATAGATGATTATTTTAGCAAAATGCTGTCACAATCATGGCCAGTAAAAGTTGTACGTGTTACAAGCTCACGCCATCGTGTTGGTTATCCTGGTTATGTGCAAGCTGCCCATTTTGATAATTCACAATACAAGAAAGAAAATTACTTTCTACTGGTCACAACATTTGGAGGAGCTCTGACAATATCTAGACGGGTTGAGCCTGATTTCTTTACTCATATTCTAATTGATGAGGGAGCTCAAACTCGTGAACCTGAAGCCCTTAGTCCATTTCTAATGGCAAATGAGAATACTCGTATTGTTATTGCTGGAGACCATCAACAGGTATATATGTATATGCAAGGCACATGCTATGTAGCAGACCTGTGTCAGTTACAAAACCTCAATTACAAATTGAAACATTTAATAGCACTCCTTTTGTAAAAATACACTTGACTAGAATTACTATGTTGAATTAATTTTAATTAGAATTACTATTTTTGATATGTTTTTGCATAAAACAAAAACATGGCCTGCTATAGAGTAGGTTTCTCACAAAGTGTGCTAAGTAAGCTTAACTGCACTTACAGTGCATTGCCCGTAGAGTAATTCTAAAGTTTATAAAAATCTATTTTTGACCGTAATCAGCTTAAACTAGATATAAAACTTCAGAACATGTTGAAAATATAAGAATAAGAAAATTTTCTTTTAGTTGTTTTTGGCAAAATTGCCTGAGACCATTTACATTGCCTGGGGCCACTTTTTTATGAGCAACAAAAGTTTATAATTGGGCAAAGTCCTTAGTGAAGAAGTACATCTGTATTCTGTACAGACGGACGTCCAACTATTATTGAAGTTAAAATAACCTAATCTTTATGATGGTCACATGGCTAGGGGCAGATTCCCTTAATGTTTTATATACATTCTTCTAATTAATCTAATTTTGATTAGAATTAGCTAGTTCAAACTAGGTATACAACCTCAGTACATGAATCAGAAAAAAATTGAGAATTGTCTTCTAGCAACTACCATGGATCAGAGTTTTCTACAAAGCTCTACTCTCATCAGTGCTGCATATGTCAACTTGCACTTGCAATGTGGGGTGGACATGTTGGTGTTTTGATGTTGATACAACCCTACAGGGATTTATCAGTTTAATTTTACAACGGCTTGTTTAAATTAATTTGATGTAGGCTCAATCCTACACAAAATAATTTAAAAAAATTTTTATTCTAGTTTGTAATCATGTTGTAACTGAGCCTCTATTAATTGTAATTGGCCCCTGATCTGGTATCATGTATCATTATTTTATAGGTTGGTCCTCAAATTCTTGTTTTTGGTAAAGCTCCTCAGCAGTTTGGTTTATGTGTGTCACTGTTGCAACGATTACTAGAGGAGTATAAATCTATTGGCAATATTACCAAGAGGAACACTCCATCATGGAATATTAATTATCGCTCACAAGCTGACCTTTTGAAGTTACCTTCTAAGTTGTTTTATAATTCAGAGCTGAGAGCTTGTGGTAGAGTACCATACCACCTCAAAGCTCCTTATCCTTATGTTTTTATATGTTCCAGTTTTACTAATGATATTCCAGCTGATGCTCAGTGTGCTATAGAGGCTGACAGACTCCTTCAAGCAGTGCAGCTATACAGTGACAAGTTCAAAAGCTGGGAACTGAAAGACACTTGCATTATGACTCCAAGTTTGAAACAGGTATTACATACATGTGATAAAAATTTTGGGGATTCTGTTCCGAAAGTATTTCTAAATTATACGATTGAGACACCTTTATTGTTGTCAATTCAGATAACCACCTATACAATATTGTGCATTTTACTTATAATATAGTGTATGGGTACATTATCCCCATTTTGTCTATCTTATACCTTCACAGTTTGTGGTCTATACAGCACAGTGTAGGGTTTATGTTGTAAAACAATTAAAAAGAGCTCTTCTCTTGAGCTTGGTGGCTCCTTTCTACTCTCAATAGTGAAACAGGTGTTTGGGCTGGTGCTTTATGTACCCAAGCACTATAACCATAAACTAGTTAGAATACAACTCCTCATGCTGTATATATGTAGAAAATATAACATGAAAGGTTTGGTCAAGAAAGGCATACAAGACTCGGCTTACCTTATGATACATGGCTTTCTTGTAACATCTCTCATACTGTATTTTCTGTACTGCATGCTTTTAAGTAATATTTGTTATTGCAATAATTAAATGATGATATCATGCATCATTGTATCTTTGACAGGCAAACCTTATTAAAAAATTGATAAGGACTAAATTCAATAATTTAGAAGGCGTCACTATTATCACCAGTTATCAAATGCAAGGTAATACAGTTTTATGTTTCATTTGACGTTTTATTATTATACATGTACAAACAGGGCAGGAGTACCGAATGCTTTTTATGAGTACTGTTGAAAGTTTAGAGCCCAATGGTCGACCATTTGATCCTTTGAAGAGTTTTTGTAATCCAGCACTATTCAATACAGCAATCACACGCTCTAAAAGTCTTGTAGTAGCTGTAGGTAATCCTCTTGTACTGCTGTTGTCTGAAGCTACTATGGATAATCTTAAATGGTGTTGGAGAGAGTTCATTTCTAGATGCCTTCAAAATGAAACATTCAAAAGTACTCCTTCTGACCGTGCCCAGTTTGAACAAGTAAAAGTACAGTTTTTTGACATGCTGAAGTGTGATAATCCAGCTGGTAAGAATTTTTGTTTTATTTTCTGATGTCATTTTTGTGTAGACATGATAAAATTGTTCCAAAGGAACAGTTATTTCCAGAATTATTGCATGAAGCCTGCACTACCTAATTCATCTACACATGTGTTCCCTATCCCGTTATCTACTCCACAAATAATATGCTCAACTGAAACTTTCAGTCAACAGTCATCATCTACTCCACCTTTTGTACAACAGTCATGTCATCCATCAGAGGTTAGGAAGCAGCCATCTTCTCAAGTTAATCAAAAGTTATCATTTGAAAATGAAACATCACAATCATGGCCACAACTAGATCTACTACCTTCTCAAGAAAGTAAAAAGCAACTTACTTCTTCATCATCTACTTCACCATCTTCCTCATTATCTACTTATGAACCGCCTCAACAAATCATTCAAGAAAAGGACTTGCACATAACCAAACTAGTGAAGGAAAGAGATGAGAGGGTCCTCAAGCAACCAGAGGTTAGCAAGCAGCTGTCTTTTCAAGTTGATCAAAAGCCATCATTTGAAAATGAAACATCACAAAAATTGCCACAACTACTAGCTTCTTCTCAAGAAAGTAAAAAACAACTTACTTCTTCATCATCTACTTCACCATCTTCCTCATTATTTACTCATAAATTGCCTCAAGAAATCATTCATGAAAAGGACTTGCACATAGCCAAACTAGTGAAGGAAAGAGATGAGAGGGTCTTCAAGCAACCAGAGGTTAGCAAGCAGCTGTCTTCTCAAGTTGATCAAAAGTCATCATTTGAAAATGAAACATCACAATCATTGCCACAACTACTAGCTTCTTCTCAAGAAAGTAAAAAACAACTTACTTCTTTATCATCTACTTCACCATCTTCCTCATTACCTCCTT